GCATTACATTTTCTAATGCCGCAGTATTGAATGCTAGCCTTAGTACCGATTCTACCACTTTCATACAAGCGTATGACCACTTAACTGTTTCGGAGAGATCAGTGGCGGATGACATCATTTCTCAATTTAGCGACATTTCCGCCGAACGTCGGGGTTTGGGCGAGACGAGTTTGGTCACTCACCGTATTGATACGGGAGATGCTGAGCCAGTTCGTCAAAGGTACTATAGGTTGTCTCCAGAGAAGCAGCGGATCCTTGCCGAGCAGGTCGACGAGATGCTGGCTCTGGACGTAATTGAGCAGTGCGAAAGTGCTTGGTCATCACCAGTTCTCATTGTTACGAAGAAAAACGGTCAGCCTCGGTTTTGCCTCGACAGCCGCAAGCTCAATTCCATCACGAAGCGCGACGCCTATAGTCTACCCTACATTTCCGAGATCTTGGATAATCTTCGCGATGCTCGCTACTTATCTAGTATCGATTTATCCAAAGCCTTTTGGCAGATACCTATAGCACAGGAGGACCGGGACAAGACTGCTTTTATGTGCCTAATCGCGGTACCTATCGTTTTAAGCGCACTGCTTTTGGTTTAACTAACGCCCCGGCTACACAGCAAAGGTTGGTTGATCTGTTATTTAGGGAATTTGACCTCAAAGTCTTTGCATACCTAGACGACATTATTATCGTCTCAAACGACTTCAATTCCCATGTTTCCCTGTTACTTCGGGTTCTTAATAAGCTGAAACAGGCCAACCTCACTGTAAACCTAGAGAAATGTCAATTCTTCCGCAGTCAGCTCAAATACCTGGGTTACGTCGTTGATAGTAGTGGTTTACGTACCGATCCTGAGAAGGTGGAAGCAATCCTCAATTACCCGACACCTACATGTCGTAAGGACGTTAAGCGCTTCCTCGGGACTGCTACTTGGTATCGTCGTTTCGTCCCCAATTTTAGTACCATTGCAGGCCCCTTAAACAAGTTAACTTCGAGTAAGAAGGGTGGACCACCTTTTGCCTGGTCTGCCGAAGCTGATGCTGCCTTCAAGAAACTTAAGGAGTGTTTAGTTTCCGCTCCTGTTCTTTCCTGCCCTGACTACGATAAGCCATTCGAAGTACACACCGATGCCAGCAATTACGGCGTGGGTGCGATGCTGACGCAGACTATAGATGGTAAGGAGCACCCCGTTGCTTATATGAGCAAGTCGTTGTCAGCAGCAGAGAGGAACTACAGTATAACGGAGCGTGAGACATTAGCTGTCGTCATCGCCCTGGAGCACTGGAGGTGTTACTTGGAGAACGGTAGGCCATTCACTGTCTATACTGATCACAGTGCGTTAAAATGGTTTCTGTCTCTCAGGAACCCTACCGGTAGATTAACTCGCTGGGGTGTAAGATTGTCCTCATTTCATTTAGAATTCAAGCATCGTAAGGGTGTGGACAATGTGATCCCCGATGCCCTCTCTAGAGCTCTTCCCGTCTCGGCGATTAGTACTTCCGGTTCGAACATGGTGACATCGGATTCTTGGTACAAAAATATTTATAATTCTTGCCTTTCTAAGCCACAAACTTTCCCGAATTTCATTATCAAGGATGGCAAGTTATTCAGGCGTGCCAAGAATAATCACTCACTTTCATCCGAGTTCTTATGGAAGGAGGTTGTACCTTTTGAGCTACGCGAGCAGGTGATCAACGAGAATCATGCGGAACCCACGGCTGGACATCTCGGCGTTTTTAAAACATACCATCGTATTACCTTGCGCTACTTTTGGCCTGGTATGCACCAGGACGTGGTAAAGTTCGTTGCCTCCTGCGAGAAGTGCTTGTCTTACAAGGCTCAAAATCACCAAACCTTGGGAGCAATGGGCCGCCCGAAGCAGTGTTCTAGGCCATTTCAAATGATTTCAATTGATTTGATGGGCCCCTTGCCTGTCACTAGGAAGCAGAACACTTATATCTTCGTAGTCACATGCTGCTTCTCGAAATATTGCCTAATTTTCCCATTAAGAAGTGCTACTGCCACTACAGTCACGAAGTTACTGGAAGAGTCTGTTTTCCTCGTCCATGGTGTCCCTCAGACCATATTTTTGGACAATGGCGGCCAGTTTATTTCGAAGGTCACTGAGTCACTTTTCCATCGTTATAAGGTCCCTAACGTGTTCTTCACGCCAAAGTACACCCCTCAAATTAATTTGGTAGAACGACATAATCGTTCAATTATCACGTGTATCTCAACTTTCGTGGACAACGATCATCGCAGTTGGGATACATATATTCCGAAGGTTCAGTTCGCCCTCAACAATTCGGTGAGTGAGGCGACTGGTTTCACTCCATCCTTCCTGGTGTTCGGCAGGGAGCTCGTTACATGTGGCTCGCATTATTTAGATAACGATTTAGGCGATGAGGTTTTATTCCTTCCCCGTGACATCTACGCGGAGGATTTGGGTTGTCTTAAGGAAGTTTTCGATACTGTAAAGGCCAAATTGTGGCATGCTCATGCTAAAAACTCAACCCACTATAACCTTCGGCGCAAGCCTATAGAATTTAACATTGGTGACACTGTAATGAAACGCGCATATGTTTTAAGTGATAAGGATAAGTTCTTTAGTAAAAAACTTGCGCCAAAATTTATTAAATGTCGCGTCATCGGTAAAAAGTCACCCCTAGTTTACATCCTGGCTGACATGTCTGGGAAAGATATTGGCACCTGGCACATCAAGGATTTGAAATTAACAGGACACAATACTTAGTCATATATGTATACACTTTTTTTTTAAAGTGGTACTTCCCCGTGTGGTGTCGGGTTAGAATAGCACCACCCCATTTCTTCCTGTGGGTGTCGTAAAAGTCGACTAAGGGATAGGGTAGTAGTGTGTTGTGGGAGATGGGCTAGCAACCATCACTGCAATATCACAAGATCTCCATGTTACACCTACAAGTACACTTAATTAAGTTGCATGTGTTCTGCTTGTTACTTAGGAATACACTAGCGTTATATTTATATATATACATGGTGCTCGTTTTACCCTGGTCACACTTTTACATCTTTAGCTCTAGGTATTCGTATGGGTCTTCCAGTCTAACCGATGCTGGAACACCTTGCCAAATGACAGGATGCGTCAACTACCCTATTGATGTTCGTTGACGCTGATATAATCGCGTGAAGTATGAGAGATGTTGTATAAAAGGATAATGCGAATACATAACAATTTAGAGCGGATTTTATTAATTAAGAATAATAAAATCCTTATGTAGCGCGCGGGGTACTGTAACGTTGCACGTACATGTATGCATAATTATAATTAAACGGTTTATTAAAATTAAATAAACATTTAATAAACTAAATAAAAATAAAATAAAAGTTATTAACAAAAATAATTCTATAATTAACTTAGGTATCCTATTAATAAAACAAATCAGTAAACTAAAAGAACGAATTAAATAATAAATCAAATATTAAAATATTGTATTTCGAACAAACACTCTGACGCTTCGTTACTCTATGCGCTTTGCAACTCTCGCGTCAGAGTTTTACCCGGCCGGTATCATTCCACGGCGTCGCGCTCCCGGTCATTCTCCGCCCGAGCGCCCTGGGAGGCGCACACTACCACTGCAGCCGCGTTCACAAGCTCTGCTTTGTGTCCTCGTACGCCCTTGCAAATTTTAATCCCATTTTGGAAAAAGTTTAAAATAATATAATAATTCCGGCACTGTGGCCGTATAGTTTTTTCGTTAATTCTCGTCACCGAGACCTCCGTATCGTCTTGCACCCCGTAAGGGTAAGTGTTGAAACGTTACCTAGTTTTAAGTAGTGAAAGTGTTTTATAGGTAGTGTAATTTGATCATGCCAGGCTGTTTGCTTTTAGCTATTTAATTGCCACGTTATTAGTGTTATTTGCATGTAAGTAATGTATGTAGCCGCTGTGTGCGTTGGCAAAAGTACCGTTACAAAATGGCGTCTCATACATTTCGCACCGCGATCAAATATCGCAAGTCACCATCATGTTTCAACCAATGCACAGCCTAAATTAGTTATCCTGGTACATTTAAACAGTATTTTACACTTGCCGTAATTTTAATTCATGTGTATTTTAATTTGCGCCTCACCGCTATGACGCTTGCCTTCCATTCCGCCTTGTAACTCCGTTCTGATTATGAACACCCGCCAGCTACTCTCTGTGCTCCCATCTACTGCTAGCCTGCGATATACCGGGGGTTCATAATCGGCGGCATTTTATTACCTGGACCTAAATGTGGACGACGTTGTTTCCAGGGTGCAATTTTACGACTACAACCGTGGCGGTCGTCCTTCTTAAGAGGGCCTAGGCCTCCCCTCGACGCCGCCACCGCCACAGCCAGCTGCCCACGGCGCTCCCCGTGAACAGTCCAACCCCCCCGGCCCTGCTCGACCACCTCGCGGCCACATAGGGGAGTACCTGACCCTGCCAGTGAAGCCAGACGGGCACTTTTTTTTAATTATCGGAACCACGCCCACGACCTTTTCTTTTACCAATATATAATTTTTTTTTTGACTGGTTGTTGCCTTATTTTAAACATCACCCGCCTCAATATATATATATATATTCTGTGCTGTGCTTACTGAGCGGTCTTACTCATATTAGTTACACCATATAATATTCAGACAGCTAGTTAGTGCAGATGAGTGCATTCTGTCGCTCTTAATTCAGACTTAGGTTAGGTTGTAAGTTATGACTTAAATATGAGTAAAAAAGTCTGAATATCGCCTGGTATATAATAGGCCCATTAGTATTTGGTCCATCATATAACACTGACTAATCAAAGTCCTGTCTGAACCTTAAATTAAAGCTAGATGCGATGTATTTAGGCTTCTAACGGTCACAATAAGATTAATACTTATTGAAAAAAGACGGAATAGACGGACGAATTTCGTTGTGTTTTCCACTTCACGACTCATTTGTTTTTAAAATCTAGTGTGCAAGCAATAGAAAATTACATAAAACCTAGTAAAATAAAACAATTACATACCTGATGGTGTTGCTTAATGTTATTTACACATTTGTCATGGAAAGCTTCTAAATGTTTAAGAAAAACTTCATTTGGTCTCAAATTTTCTTGTTTTACCACATCCATGATAAAAAGAACATAACCAAATTGCCTGTGTACAGTACCATGTCGCAAAAGTGCTCCTAAAATTTCTATGTTTACTCTGAAAGTATAAAAAAACTGCACATAATGAAAGCTTTTATAATATGTAACGAATAATGTAATTTCATTAATTTTACTATTCTCGTTATTAACATTTGGCTGTAAATAGCCACAAGAAACAATCCTATCCGAAGCATGGAAGATACTATAATCGCTACGTTTTACCAGCAACGCTAGTTGCTAACCCATTTGTTAGTTGGACAAATTCAATCAACATATTCTGGCTACTCAAGCTTAAATTTTGGGTATTTATATTCAATTAAAATCTTTTTTTTACTCGACTCCATTGAGAGTAATTCATTCTTGGGTCGATGTAGCGCAAAGCCATGGTTTTAGCAGGCAGGCCTCTGTCACTCTTGCTAGCTGCATGAAATAATTACCCACTATCGCTTTTTTTTTGCGCCCGAAGCTAATAAGGCCAACCCTCCGGTAACGGGGGAGGGAGGTGGTGGAATGCTCATAGCATACCACGCGACTGGCTGCGTGGTTAAGTGGAGATTTTTACCCACTAAACACCGCCTTTATGGATTGGCTTAACGATCTGACGAGAGATCTTTAAGCCGTAAACGGACGCGACCCTCCTTGGCAGAAAGGAGGGCGCAATCTACTATCGCGAGCCGTCCCGGGCTTTATACTTAGTCGCGGGTAGCGCGTTGTAGGAGATTGAATGTTAAAGTTTTTTTTTAACGCTGTTTAACGTAAATAGTTTTTTGTAAATACAAGTCGAAATAGGTTTGTTAAGTGTTTAGTATATTTAATTGTAGGATAAAATAGTTTAAAAAGTTTTAAAGTGATTTAAAAACTATATAAGTATTATATTATGTATATTACATATGTCACAAATTATGGAAAAACTTCGTTCCTGCTATAATTGTTGTGTGGATAAATGCTAAATGACCAACAAAAGGTTTCACATGTATCATTCTTTAAGATACCGAAAGGTTTTATTAGGAAGTTAAGAAAGGTGAATTTATTTCATCTTTTTTGTTAGATAGGTACAAAAAGACTTAAGTAATAATTTATCTACAGAATTAATACCTAAGTACTTTATTGAAATTTACATCACTATCCTAGTATCTAATATTTTGTAAATTCTTTTTAATTTAGGGACTTACGTTATTTTATAAACATGTCAGTCCCATTGTACCTTATAACTAAATAACATGTGGCGGCGTTGTCGTCGCGCCACAAGCGAAACACACCGAAGCCTAAATCGCGCTATCAAAGTTTCGAATCATAAACAGTATATATAGAACAGCTCCGAAATATCACACGGAGCGTTGGCCGCTCCCCGGGCAGAACACCTTGCCCGGCGGGAGATCTCCCCTTTTCCTCCCACGGCCACAAACACAATACAATTTATTAAGTTACTTAACAAAATACTAACAATGATACACCATTTGAGCAGCATTTGACAGTGGTTCAGAGAGAATGCTTTGATATTCACATATGTTACATATTTTAATGTCAATTTTAGCGACTAGTAATTTACTTTCGTATAAAGACAAGTATGGTTATGTATCTACTTACATACCTATACTTGTCTTTTGTAATTAAAATAATTAAAGTTATAATAACACAAAGTACTGAATTAAAAAAAATTGTTTACAAGATTTTTAACCATGTAGAATACGATCACATTTCTGTTAGGAATCCTATTTCAGGTTAGTTTGTTGTTTACACTCTTTCTTCCGAGCCAAGCATCGCGTTTCCCGACGAATACATAACTTTGTAAGTTGCATGCGTTGGGCATCGCAGAACTCACATAGTAGGTGTGAAAATATGGCCAATCGATTAGGGTCAGAATAGGTACCTCACAACAATGTATTTTTTACTTTTTATTGACAGCTCTTGGTAACCACGGAAAGTCCGCCGTAACTTAGGAAGGGGAAAAGATGCAAAGTAATGCGGACACTTGCGCGCAGTGACAAAGTTTTATTTAGCTTGTGTGCGCGTTTTATCTAATTAATAATAATTATGTAGGCTATTAAACATCGGCAAGCAGTCAACATCAAAGGAGTGCCACTTCTGTACGTAGTACTATTATTTATTCTGTGACCCCGGTTCTGGCCATTGCTAGTTTGGAAGTCAATAAATAAGACAAAACAGACTTGCTTTAAAGACAGTGTTAAAAAGTCATTTGTCTATGGTCCGTTCTGACAAGTGACAGGTAAGACACCGTAAGTTTCTAGACACTTTGTTGTGAAAATGGCTCCATAGTTGTGAAGTAAAAAGTTTCCTATATTATGTTAACAAAAAAACATTTGTGGCCGTGGAATGAAAAGCGCAGATCTCCCGCCGGGCAAGGAGTTCTGCCCGGGAAGCGGCCAACGCTCTTTGTGATAAATCGGAGTCATTCTATATATACCGTTTTACTTCGGAACTTTATAGATCGATTTTAGGATTCGCTTGTGGCGCGACGACAGCGCCGCCACAATAAGTGATACTAGGTTAGTAATAGACAAATATCTTAGATATCGTTTTATATTGGAGTTGATTGAACCCTACTAGATGAATTTCTAGGAGCTGGTTTTAAGGTTATTTCGGTAGTAATTCCTATTGCTGGAAGATGAGGTGGCCACAACTAAAACACTAATTTAGTACTTTGCTAGGGTTTTGGCCATGCTTGTGGCCACAACTGACTCCAATACGATATCAGTTCTGGCCACCCTTGTTTTCTTTTTGGTTTAAGCTGTCTAACAATTATTAACTGGTTTGGTTTACAAGTTTGTTATTTCTTTTGTGCTTAGGTTGGTAAAATGGCACCAATGAATAATTTAAACTGACAATGTCAAAAGCAAGCTTATTGCTTATTCACCTTCCTAAGTTGCTTAGGCCTTAATGCTGGCCGAACTCGCAAGTACCACGTTCCACAAGTAAACCACAGGCTTGTCTTGGAAATGATATTGAAAATTCTTTAGTAATTTGGATTAAAGAGTGTTCAGGAGCCGGTTTTTCATTAAACAAGGACGGTTTATCAGACAATAAAAAATTGTGATTGCGGGTAGCCTCGAAACTTCGTTCAATGATCGTCTTGGAAGATCATGGTTTTTGTTTTTTATGACAAGACACCCTGATTAAAGCAAAAACATGCAGAATATATAAATAAATCTCGTACAATGATAACATAAGAAAGAATCAAGAAATGGTTTGAAGAACTTACCGAGCTATTAGGGCCTGAAGGATGTGAGGTTCTTAAAAAACCAAATCGAGTCTGGAATTGTGACGAGATAATTTTTCTCGGCACCTAAATGCGGATTAATCTTAGTACCAAAACGAGAACATGTGTATGACGCCTCTAGGAACATTAACAAGTCACTAATATATTTGAATCAGACACGTCAAAAGATAAAGAAAAACGATGCTTCAGAAGGACTTTTAGATTATGGAATACAATTTGAAAGCATTACTCTAAGTGAAGAAAGGATAAATGACTATGAAATAGGTGAATATTGTGATATTTTTTGTATAAAAGTGTACACTTTATCGGCAAAATGAAGTATATAAGTGAAGACGCTGTTTTGATACGAGCAATGCAGAAAACAATAAAAATTCGAAATGGCCAGATAAACCAGACTAAAATTTAAATGCCAGAGCCGACATAATATAAAAGATCAAAACACCACAGGAAACAAATTCAAAGCGAGTTTTTCTACGTACCTGAAATGGAAAAATATTGGGAATTTTTCAACTGTTAAAGCTACACAAAATATTGATTAATATATAATTTACAATAAATATTGATTTAAGATATAATCATTTATTTTATTATAATTAGAAAACTGAAAAATCCTCTAAGTAATTTAAAGGCCAAAAATGGTGCAATTGTACGGTCACAACTGGATAAAAAGTGGCTAAATCGTGTAATGATTTCATATTTTATATTAAATAATTTATTAAATAAAATAAATAATTAATAAATAACAAACCCCGACTGCAAAAAGACAATTTAAAAGTAATACACTAAAAAGACCGAAACAAGATTGAGAATAGAAAACAAAATTAAAATAAACTATAAACAAAGTACTCTACTTCGGTTTAACATACTATATTATGAGATGGAAGCCTAAATTTAAGCCGAACCCGGAACCGGAATTATAATTTGCAATTGGGTCTCGCCTTTTCTGTTTTTGTATGGAACATTACGGTCAATAATAAATAATCTAATTTTCGGACATCATGTATAAAAGTGAGGCTTACACTGATTAATATGCAGCACTATGATCAGGAATATTAATCAAAGTGCTTCCTATGCTTGTCTTGTCTTCGATACATGAAACTTCCACTTTGTTTTTATTTTTAACGACGAAATTATAATACATACACAGAATGAAATCGTAAAAAATAATAGTATCAAAATGATTGGTGCTAGTTGCTTAATGCTCACGCAGTCACGCACACAGAGATAACACTGAAGTGCGTGTGAATAAGACGGTCTAGGGCAGTGATGCACAGACTTATTAAGACTAGGGGCCACTCGGGCAAATTATGAATCATTTTCTTATAATTCGGAAAATGATTGTAATTTCCAGAATTCAGTTGCGATCTGAAAAGTGTGAGCTTGCATTGAAAGGATGATACATGAGCGTAGAGCTGGGATATCAGTTGATTTTTGCCTTGAAGCCGTGCGTTCAAGACATTCAAATGATTTGTAATATCAACTAAAAAAGCCAAATCACACAACCAATCAGGATTTTTAATTTCCGGGACATCCCTTTGCTTTTCCACCAGAAATATTCCAATTTCTTCTATTAAATTTAGAAATCGTTCCAGTGTCAATCCACGACTTAGCCACCTTACTTCTGTATAATACAGTAAATCTCCATATTCGCTTTCGATGTCATCAAGGAATTGTTTGAATTGCCTGTGATTGAGTCCTCGTGATTTTATGAAATTTACAGTCGAAACTACCACTTTCATAACATTTTGAAATTCAATTTTTTAGAACACAGGGCTTCTTGGTGTATTGCAGTGAAACTGCATGAGATCTTCAACGTTTAT